TCATTGTTATCTTTCGTCCTCATCATTGTGTTCCTCCATATAGGTGTACAGTTTTCATCATGCAATATCGTATTGATGCTTGCAATTAAAATTTCTGCAGGTGAAACAGTTATTGAAGACTTTGTTTGTCTGAATTTACTTTCTCTGACCACAAGAAACAGGCCAGATATCTTGATTCAATCTACGCGTAACTTCACTTTGCATGTGAGCCAATGAGATAAAACTTTTCGAGACCTTGGTTATTGTAGAACAGATAGGTTTGCCTCCATACAAAGTAGTATCACCATCAATATAGGGAGGAGAGGCTGCTCTCTCTAAAGATTCTTTAAAGCTCCAAGCACCGGGCAATTTAGATATTTATTAAGGGAACAGTGGCAGGCAAGTCATTGCAATTGGAGAGAAAATCATTCAATGAACCGAAAAATTTTTATTCAGTTTCTCAACACGAAGAGCAACTTCGTGCCAATCCCTATTATATCTGAAGAGTTACCTCATCGATTCGGAAAAACCATCAATTATCATGCTGGAGCACGTCACTAGATTTGTAAATATTTTTTTTCCAGGCTTTCGCTCTTGATAATCGGACAATCGGGCAGCTTCTCAAAAACAGCAGTTGTTTCTTGTGTGTCACTGCATCCGTCCAACAACAATACTGCGTCGTTATGGCTGCAGTTTCTCACAAGATCTCTCGCTCGCCCATTGAACTCCTCCCAATATTATTAGCGGTCATCGAGCTTCCACATTCATATGCTACCCATTGGCCAGAGTTATGAATCATTGGCCGAAATTTGGGGATATATAAATCGGACAATATGAAGAAGATTTTTTTTCATCACTGTCACCTTCTTTTGATGTGGAGTAACCTTTAATTAGAATTAATAGTGGGTTTTTTGGGTATTTTAATAATCAAATTGTCCGCTTTATCAATATGAGCATTGATAACCGCTCCATTTTAGGTTTCTTGGCTATTCACATGTTCGGCAAATTCTTTATTTTCCATGTGCCTTTTGTACAATTAATTTCAACTTCTTCAGATTATTTAGCTGAACTTTTTTGACGGCACATTTGACGCGGAAAAATACATTTCAGATTGACAAATGTTCAGAAACCTACGCGGTATTAGCTTAGACTCATGTACTCCTGAGTATTTTTCCACAACCACTTAAACGTTAACACTTCAGTTCCTTCACTTGACGCGCGTTTAGTTTCGATAAGCTTCCTCCAGTATCTATCTTCACACGCAGTTATAAATGGTCTATTACAGTTCTTTTTTTTTAAACCTTTTATTTCAAACCTTAACCTCATATGCTTTCGTTATGACGTCAGCACATCGACCAGACGGTGAGACGAACTCTTCACTGATGGCCAGCTAAGCGGCCGCAGCGTCGGCCGGCGGAGACCGACAGTCGAGGAAGATATCGATTTGTGGACTTCATTATTTTACCATGAAATTGGTTTTTATATATATTATATATAGTTCCTATTTACATTTAATTTTTAAAATTACATAAATTATCTTGCATTACATATTTATGTATCAGGAGAGGTTGTCGATAGGAGTAAATAGCTCTAATATTTTTATTTTTCTTCAATGTAAAGCAACCGTTGATGAAGCAGATACGTTATGGGTGGACACGAGCTTATAGAAAAGTACTTGTGCAATCAAACGTTTTATGAATAAAGTACTACAGATTTCAGGACCAAAACATGAAAGCTAAATTAACCGGATTTTATGGTCCTATGCAGCATTCATGCGTTAGGTATAACGCGCAAATATAATGCAATATAATAAAGATATATTGTGGCTGCTAATAACCTAAGACAAATAATTTTTTCAGCTATATATATTCTTAAGTGCTAAATATAATTTACAATAAATTAGTTTTAATTTTTAGTAAATCTGCTTCAAATATTTCCAGTATGTTAAAAGAATGACGAAGCCATTATGAATGCATTATGAAAATCACAGGTCGAAACTTTTGCGACCAATAAATAAGAATAAATTCAAGAAAAAGGATTTATTATACTCAATAACAAATTATCTCATGGGAAACTATATCTGCATAATTATTATATTTAATAATAGACTGTCTAAAGGGAAAGATAATATTTAAGATAATAATGGTTGACAAGCTTGTGTCCGACCATGATAGAAAGGTTGTTCGTGCAGCGATAAAATCACGCGTGTTATTCGACTCCAGCATCACAACCAAAATTCGTAAGGAATTTCCTCAGGAAGCGGGCGTCGCGCTTGAATGATATACGTCGCATTTCGGTCTCCAGCAACGCGCTTGATGTTATTTGTAGGACTTACGGAATTTTTATTGTTGCGGATGTCTATACACATAAGAAGTTTGTTGTTAGAAAACTCTTGATATAAGATGCAACATAGCACAAACACTCGCTGAGGAGACAAAATAGAATTTGAGAAAAAATGGACTCCTTATATTAAATGACACTTGACAGCTGAAAGTTTTTAATTTTAATTTCACTTAGCGAATCACTTATGAATAATATATCTAATATATAATATTGAAAACTACAATAACTTTGCAATAAATATGATTGTACAATAACTCTCTGTTTCAGCGACCGATAGCCGGAAATATTGCTACGAAGATTCCATCTCGTTTCTCCGGAATCACATTCGTAATCTTCGGAAGCACGGCTACAAATATTTATCAGAGGACAATCCCCTTTACAGGGCCCAAAAATGGTAATATTAACGCTCAAAAACCATGAATAGGTAGCAAGCCTCTATTACCTGTCCATCCAGGATTGTTTTTCAGAATAGAGAGAAATGCTCCGAAGATTCTCAGGATAAAGAGCAATTGTCATTCCGCTTAATTGCTTCTCTTGTTCAAATAAGATAACAACCTGACCTTTGATTTGAAGTATAGTATAAAAAATTTGACAAGCAAGAGTAAAATATATAGTGTTTTGAAAAAATAAGTTTTAGCTGAACTTTTGCCGAGTTCAGACATTGCCTTGGGATGATGAAATTCAAAGATTGTCCCTTGTGTATTTAACGAGCTCATCTACTTCAGGAACAACGCATGGAGTTAAAGAAATAAGAAACTCCCCAATGCCCGACTGGAAATCCAAGTTTGAAATTTACTTTGTATTTGCCGTAGCAATTAAACAAGCAATTATTTCTTCAAGAGAAAAGTGGTTTGGAAGTTGATAGAGAAGAGATTGAAATATCGGAAGAAGAGATTGAAATAGAGAAGAGATTGAAATCTTTATCGGAAGATGTTTTGATTCGTATGAAAGTCTGGAATTGTAAACTCCGAAATGTCCCTTGAAGCAAAAAGCCAACCTTTGACTTTAAAAATTCAATACCATTGTACTGAAATTAATATTTATGTAAAATATCAAACATAATGACATTCCAGAGGCCTTAAATTGTAATTGAATTTTTTCTTCAATTGATTAAGGGGATCGACCTGGCATTTTGAAAACTTCTACAGTTATTATCCGATTGTCATGAAACTTCACATACATACGTAAAATGTGAAAATAAAAACATTTTGCTCCTATGAATTTTTCGAAAAAATTGATAGAAAACGTGAAATACATAGAAAACGGCTAAAAAGGGGTACTTCAGAGTACTTCTCATTTATTTACTTTGTATCTAATTTCTTAAAGAACTCTCCCACCCGCCTCCGTTTAAAGAGCCGTCATGAACGTAAATATTCACGTAGAGAGATGGCAGTGGTACCATTTGAAAGAACAGAATTCCAGCTTTAAGATGAGTAGAAAAACCGGAAAATCCAAAATTGATCGATTTTAGCCAGGTCGATCCCCTTAAACTCGAGCAAAAAAGTTTCAGGTGTCTAGGAAGGGGGAGAATGCATCAATCCAAGAAATTATCAGAAATAATCCCATAACCCGATCATCAGCACGAATATGATCGTTAATTTTTAGTGCTTCAACATAAATACATACCTTAAAATGTGTTACAATATTCGGAGAGAAAGAACAGGAATATCTGTCCCGACGCCTATAACCACGTAAGACTCGCAGATAACGTAATGCTCATGCATTATGGGGCAGTGGTTCGCTAACACCATTCTTGACCAACCATGCCTTCCCCTCACACCCACCTGCAGCCGCTGCCTTAAATGCCTTGACTCGTTATCGCAATTTATCTCGAAGAATATCCGTTATTCTATCAGAAGTATTTTTATTTTACTTGATATGCTTGGTCCTGATCAAATTTGGGAATTGTGACTGCGCGTTTGCGTTTCCATTCAATCCAAAATATATAATAATTTCTACATAATCCTTCGAAAAATCTGTATTTAAGCTTTAGTTAGCACACAAGGAAAAAATCGGTTGATCTCCAATCAACTTGAAATATTGAATAAAATGTTATACCAATTCCTTCTCTAATTGAAATATCACCATAGGTTAAACGCTTTTATTATTTATTTAGGTTTTTAGAATGATTCAAAATTAAAAAGCTTTCAATGATTCAGTATTATTACAGCGGATATCGCAATCTATTTCAACGGCTACTCGATTTAAATCCTGGTCTTATTAATTTATTCAATTCAGCAATAATTAATTGGAGTTCATTACAGCTATCAATAAGAAACTATCCGCCGCCTAAGCCCTCCTCTAGTTCGCAGATCCGAAGAATTATTTCATTCGTCAACGATGAACTGCGATTAAGTGTTTCAAAATCACGGAATCCCGTCAGTCGGTTTTCCATTAATTTAAGTGATTCACCACGGTAAATAATGCCCTGGTCCAGGGTGCATATACGTATATACAGACTAAGCTAACAAATTTCAGACACTCATGCAATATTAGATACTAGCATTATTGTCAATACATTCATTATAGAGAATGTTCTACATGAAATAATAGAGCGGTGTTAACACAGAAAACATGCTGGTGATGGTGCCATCATTTTAACTTCGTGTCTTCCAGAAATAATAAGGAAATTCTTAGGTTTGTTACTGAAAAAGTCAAAAGTCATTGAACTTAATGGCATACTGCCATTAAGTTCAAAGTTACGGATTGTAATGAAGCCAAGACTATCAATACAACTAGAGAGTTTTTAATGTACTATTCAAATCCTCAGTGGTTATTTCGCTGGAGGCCGTGTTTGTTAGTATCATTTTAAATGGTAATTAGGCATATATATATATTAGAATCAGATAAATTTTTATTATAAACCTTTTTAAAAAGGCTTAGAGAGATTTATCAGCTATGATTTGATGGTATGCAAAGAAATTCGTTAAACGAAGCATTTTCCGTTATTCTACTTGCATATAACCTGGCTCAGGCACTATATGAAGGCTGCGTTCCTTTCGAATGTATGTTAGAACAGCCATACAGGCTCAAATTTGCTTACAAAGAAACTTGTATTCAAGGGAACATTGCGCATCGGCTACGTGATAGAAATAACCGATAGTTGGTTTCAGAAGAATTTTGGCGCAATCTGAATTCTCGTTGGGGTCATTTTTGCCCCAGTAGGGCGATGGGGGGATGGTCCCGCCTGGGACCATCCCCACTGGGGTGGGAGCCTGGATGGTCCCGCTTCCAAACCATTTCCAAGTTTCGATGTTCGAAGTACGGTTCAGGCCGATCCAAAGATTCATGCTTGAGGCTGACAAAAAAATGATACATGTATATTAAATTTACGTTTAGCAATTATTTCTGGCGTGATTTTCCTCACGACAAAACCGCAACGTCAAGACGCTATTTGCTCTAGAAATCAATTGCACTGAATTATTTTTTCGATAAACCTGCAGTGTCACTGATTCAACAAACGAGGATACAATTTATTCATATTTGAACTTGGGAATGTCAATTAACTGAAGGTGCTAGCGTAATCGGCAATTCAGCAAAAAAAATACTATGAAAACCGGGCATCAACACAAAGTTCAAGTGCAACTTCAACAATTAAACATAACTAATTGGTTGCTATGATGAAGATACCCTACATTATTGGGTTGTGATTGACGTGTTATGTGCAGCACCACTAGTGGTCCAGAAGTCAATGATGGTATTTATTCATTTTTATTTTGAATTTCAAGAATTTTAATGAGAAGATCAATCAATGAGGACTTCTCTTTTACAACACTCTCAGGCGTTATTACTAGAAATAAGAAAGGCACTCGACACAAACTGGTCTGCATGAAGTAACCATTTAGCCATGCGGATGTTTCATTTGTACGATGCATGAACGTGTTTCCTGATGCCACAGCACATCAGGAAGCAGATGCAATTTATTGTTATTTTTATACCGCTAAAATGATAAACTTATACCAACAGTTGGTTAATTTCTATTATTATTAAGGTTTAGTTAAAAAAACTGAGTTACCGCTTACTGGAAGACATCCGACACGAAGCTGACACAACATATTGATCGCCAGGCTCACTATACATTCAAACTTACAATCGGCATTCTTCAGGAGGTATTCCCGCATGGCGTTGAAGTCGATGAGGAAGTTGGCGGTGAAGAGTTGGGAGTCGAAGGGACAGGACGCGGCGGCGGCGGTGAAGTTCAGTGCGACGGTGGAGACGTAAATGCAGCCCACGTTGTCCACGAGCGTGAAGTTGGTCCGGCATCCCTGGCCTGGTAACGATGTTATAAAACGCACATAATTTTTGTATTGCACATACGTTTGAGAATCTAACTAGGTTTGTGCAGACATGATGTATTGGGGCGAAATTGAATGAACTACCAACGAGCTCCCAAAGTTTCAAAATAAGATTATTCGTTATCTTTGAATTGCAATCAACGGCATACTGAGAAAGGGTGGAGTAACCGAGACTTGATTTGATTCAGGCAACTGGAAATTACCCAACTTGTCCTAAAACATTACAATTATTCTACATTAAGAACGAATCGTTAAATTTTTATTACAGATATAAATTTGATGTATCGTTACATTTTTGCACATACGCACACAATCATTATGAAACAGTAACCACCCTAATTGAGATAAAAAAAAAACGATATTTTACAGCGTCTCTACTACCGCGCTCACACAAGTAATTTTTTACAAAATGTAATCGAATTTCGAGTTACGTTTGTAGAACACCCTGCTGTCAAGAGTAGAGGCCACAAGGTCGTTAGTGAATGCGATCTTTTGTTCGGTGAAGGAGCAGTGGAAGTGGCTTGGTAGCCGACGCCTGATGGCCACCGCGACGCATGCGTCCCGGCACAGCGCGCGACACTCGCCTGAAAGGGATGACATCCTCGCCAAAATTGTTTCACGGACAGTTCTTCATTTGTACGATGCATGAACGTGTTTCCACTAGATTTATAATAAGTAAATTCCAAAAAAATACATCTGCCTCATCTAATTAGGCTCACAGGGACGCTGCACGACCGCGCTGCTCGAGATCGCAGTTGTGGCAATTTCCGCGCCCATGAAAGTCCTGAACGTATAAGCTGAGCCCTCCTCGATGCTGCAGCAGACGCACAGCAGCGCCCCGAGCGCCGCAAGCAGCGGCAAGTCCATCTTGCGGGGCTAATTTTCTTACAAAAACTATTGAAAGCCTGGAATTAGTCTATAGTGATGTTTTTATTTGTCTATTTTCCTGCATACACAATTTCATTTTATGAAGAAGATACAAGGCTTGAAAATGGCTTCAACGGCTTTGATACAATCAATCTTTAGAAATTTCCAGGAATTCTGTTTTCATTACACTTCTATCAGTCCCTTGATACAGCAGACAAGAGCAGCTTATATTTCACTAATCACACGCGTGCTAAGAGGGACAGCATCCGAAGTGTACTGACTTCAAGTCGCGACTGGCAATGTTTTCTAAAAATCAAGTGGCATGAAGCTGATTGCCTTGCAGCAAGGCTCACACAATCATATAGTACAATTCTTCGCTACTAAATTAGCTTCATGTTATTGGCCAATCAATCGCTACAAACTAAGCTCCCTGAAGTTTCGTTCAGCCCAATTATTAAGTTGCTCTATTATATTCTCCTCATCACAGTAAGATCTGGCAATCAGAGTCACTTGCGGTCGAGGAGGTACGGATTTCAGGAGAACATTTGCATGGGATGGTTTGCAATTTGCGGGCATCAAATTTTATATCAAGCGCAAATCCGCATGTAAATGCTTGTATTTTCCAAGTGTTTGCATTGAAATTAAGTTAACGGAAGAATGCGGCGAAACAATCCCAATAAATCTATGAATATTATCCCAAATAAGAAAATTACATCATCTACAGTAGCTTAACTATTCCTTCAATTATTATTGGCTTTATATTTTAAAAAATGCTTGTGTCAGGTACCTCAGCATTTAGCTGTCGTAAGTGAAATTGAATTGCTTCTTACATTTTGCATTATTATTATGGACAAAAGTGATTCTGAATAGTCCAAATTCAATAGATCTGAAAATACTTCCTCACACTCGCACCACCCTTAATCTCACTACCCTTATTCTCACTACCCTTACTCTCACTACCCTTCCTTACTCTCACTACCCTTACTCTCACTACCCTCAATCCCACTACTACCCTTACTGTCACTACTACCCTTACTCTCACTACTACCCTCACTCTCACTACCACTACCACCACCCTCTACCCACTACCCACAACCCACTACCAACTACCAACTACTCACTACCCAAGAATCTTGTAGTGTCTCTAAAATCTAATAGCGAGATAATGACACAGTACAGTCAATGCCGCATGAAATACCAACTACAGTCGTATTTAGCTGTAGTTTCAGCAGTTAAGGCTTAGAAGTAATAAACGACTCAACGCAGGATAGCTCTTTGATGTAGAATTAGACATTGCTGTGTCGCGATTAAATTGAACAAACCGTAACTATAACATTCAATTTAATTGAACAAGTTTGATGAGTGATGGGCGTCTAGGCGACAGAGATGCAATTGCGGCTGTAGCCTGTCACATCCGCCTAGCGCTACCATCGACTGTGTTTTAAAAATTCAAAGGACTCGTTAAAACCTCCGAACGATCATTCTAGTTAAAAGGGAGGTTGTGCGTGACCCGTGGCATGTTAACACTGAATGTCAAATCCACATGATATCCTGGCAGGTTAACGCGGCAGGCTGGCGCAGAGCTCCAAGAGAACTAAACATTTTTTAAACGAGGGCAGTAGGCCAATAAATGTTACCATTAATAACCTCGCGACGCATGTCTTTCAGATCGATTGCGACGGTATGTTCTCATCAGTCCCACTACCCTCACTCCCACTACCCTCACTCCCACTGCCCTCACTCCCACTACCTTCACTCCCACTACCCTCACTCTCACTACCCTCACTCCCACTACCCTCACTCCCACTACCCTCACTCCCACTACCCTCACTCCCACTACCCTCACTCCCTTATTACCCATACCCCTCACTCCCATCACTCCCATACCCCTACCCTCACTACCCTCACTCCCACATATTTCATATTATTTTAATACCCTCCTAAATTATTAGTGCATAAAAATTTTCAGTTACTTCATCGCAATTTTATTTTTAGATGGAAATCGGAAAAGAAAAAACTTTAAATACTGGTTAAGGGATAACTCTATAACATCATCAATCATTGCCTGCAAGAATATCCATAGACATTGAGAACTTCATTTTTTAATGCCCTAGTTCACTGGATGATGCCAGTTTATGGCTACCTCATATATTTGTGCGTACATCTCTTTGACGGATACATTCAGAGCGCTTGCAGTATAGTAAAGAAAAAATGTCCTTGAAAAGGTTTAGTATTCCGTCGGGTATTACTTGAAAAAATACGGCTAAATGTTTGTGCTACAGCGCAGTTACACGCGAAATAATTGCCGAAACTTATTTTTTTGGAAATGGGATGCCCCGTTAGCCGTTACTCTATATAAACTAGAAGCATTTTTCTTTTAAGTACGAACATATCAATGTAAAGGCTTATATATATTAATATAATGCTCAGAATTCGTATCCAATGTTGTTGTCGTTCATAGATATCTCCAGCTATTCGTCTAAGCGAAATAATGTGGCTTTGCACTATTATACCATATATGATATTGACCATACAATTTTGAGATAAATATTGTTTGTACCAAACTTCCAAGACACGGAGTGGTTGGCTGGATATATTACGTTATTTTGTAGTATACGTGGAGAGCAATTATTGTTATAACTATATTTCTTCATTAATGGTTAGTTGTTATGACTGTCCATCATTACTGTCTATTAGCGTCTAATATTCTCATTACAATTAAGACAAGGGAGCGAGAGACTAGACTGCAGAAGTAAAATAGTCAAATATCTCTGACAATAAAGTGATTGATTGGATGTCATTGTTCCAAAATCCCAATAGAGATCAATAATCAACCACGAATTCTCTATGTTGCATTTTCGATCCAATGAGTGACTACTTTTCAATTATTATGTACTTAAGCCTATAATTTTGAAGATTGAAAATTGGAACGTTTAGAAACAATTTCAATATTATATAAGCTAAACCACATATTAGTAGAATTTTAATTGATGTCAAAAGAAAAGAGTGTCGTAAATACGATTATACTGGCTATATATCACAATTACCTATAATAATATAAGGAAGTAATTTATGAGCAATACACTCGGACATAAATTCGAGCTGAAAATAACCCGAGTTGAAAGACCAAATTAAGTCAGGCGTACAACTGAGAACTTGATACTCCATGCTACTTGATAATTTCGAGTCAAACTTCTGCAAGGTCCTAATTCAATCTAATGTCAACTGAACTAAGGAGACATTTGTAGAGATTAACTAGAAGATGGTAGTATTACAACTCATCGCAGGCCTATATGTGCGTCCAAATGACTTAAGATTAATAAGGAAACGAAATTTATCAGCTTGAGTCTCGTACCTAAACCGCCAATGCATCACCTCGTAGATACTATAAGTCATGCCCCACATTCTGTGGTGATGCGGAGTAATTGACGGGATCAGGGAAATGTCGCCATGACTGAACATTCAGGTTAAGAAACGATTATTGTGAATACGTGTCAGAAATTCTGATTCCAATGCAACGATGATTTACTATAAATAAAGCCTTTTTATTCGCTGATATAGGAGAAACAGCGACCAGCCTTCTGCAAGCGTTACACATAAATTCATTCCGTTTTTAATTGTGGAGGTTAGGGTATTGTATCAGCGGTCTAATTTTATCCTCATACTGTTTGCTAAGAATGGCAGGTATGCAAGCAACGCGGATAATTTAAAAAATTTGCGTCAGAATAAACAAAGTTATTGATTAACTGAAGGTGAGAGAGGCGCATTCGTGTCATTTCAAGCCATTGAATTCAAATCTGCTTACACAAAAACATGGAGGCTATGGCACAAGGTGCATCGGCCAGATGATACAAGTAACTCAGTCCAGGATTAAGATACATTCCCACACAGTTGGTCACTTTAGCTGACTCATTTGGGTCATATTTGCCCCAGTATTGCGATGAGTGAGTGGCTGCGATGGTTCCTCCTCCGAGCCATTGCCAAGTGGAGTCCGGAGCATGGATCAGGCCAATCCAGAACAGCGTGAGTGAGGCTGAGAAAATATCGCTTGATTACACAGATTTTACTTTTTAACCAATCTTAGTGATATATGTCTCCATACGAGTCGTACAATTAACACGTATTTCGTATACATTGAATTCTCAGACGGTCTTTTTCTGTTCGACTGACTCAGTCGGGTAATAGATTATAATGATGCGTGAATAGAAATCATTTATATTATGAAATGTGCATACACATAATTTCAAATCATCTGCGTTCAGTAAGGTATGATTTTGAAAATTTTATAGATAAAATTAAAGGATTTCACAATATGATAACATTGAAAGCTATTTAAAACATTTTTGAAGAATGTAAGCGCACTGATGGCAATTAAGCTCAAGCTTTCTATGCGATATATTTTCAACTTAAAAGTAATACGCTTCGTAATATAATTTTCGACGCGAGGATTTTCACGGATATTACGAGCGTATCATAACTCATATGTTTGAGTAATTTCAGAGGTTTAGCATTATTATATTAGCTGGACTGCTTTCAAGCGTATTGTCAGCTGCCAATGAATATTTGAGACTCCGCAATTATTTTCAAAATCAGGTTGTAAACGGAAAAGGGTCAAATTTACCGACATTCTCACTGTCCATTCCGGACTAAACCAGATCTCGTTCCTAAAAACAAATTATGTGTTGAAAATTACTCCCTAGTTTTCATTTTTCATGCGTATTTGCTATATGCCAGAATATGTATCGAGTTGAAATTCGTTTTTTGGGAAATTTAAATCCGAAAATATACATATGTAAGAATCTGTAAGTAACAATGAGTTTACAACAAATAAATGCGGAATTTTTTATATATGAACTAAATTATCTTACGATTTGAACTGAAAGATGGAGAGAGAAACTAAAAAAGAGAGAGAATTCGATATTATGTTCAAATTTGTTATCTAATTAAGTCATTAACGTTTATTATACGCTTATCGAAGCATGCGTCCCGGTACAGCGCGC